GTCTACGGGGCCTCTGGCAGTGGAACCAGTATTTATCCCTAGTGCACAAATGTACTTTGGTAACCCATTCCCCATGGAGGGATACTCTCTCAGCCTAGATACACGGGGAAGGGCTTAGGACCTGCCCTAAATGATGTGACGGATTTTGATGATTCCTCATGGGAGGCCTCACCCTCCCTGGGGAGTGGTTGTGGGGTGGGATGGGGGATTGGTATTGTAAAATAAGGATGTTTTTAATTCAAATAAAAATGTATTTAAAAAATAAAAATAGCCGGGCCGTGGTGGTGCACACCTTTAATCCCAGCACTTGGGAGGCAGGGACAGGCAGATCTCTGTGAGTTCGAGACCAGCCTGATCTACAAGAGCTAGTTCCAGGACAGCCTCCAAAGCCACAGAGAAACCCTGCCTCAAAAAACCCAAAATAAAATACAATAAAAAATAAAAAAAATTACCCTCAAAAGCCCAGCTCCATTGCTTCATTGGCACATTCTACCAAAAGTTAAAGAATTAAACATCTTCACCAACTCTCCCCCAAAAAAACAAAGAATACATCAGATAAATATATAAACTTCCCAAGTTATTATGAATCTTTGATATCAAAACTAGGAACATCACAAGAAAGTTACAGCCAATAGGACTATAGAGCATGGTGGTGCAAGCCTTTAATCCAACTGCTCAGGAGGCTGAGGCAGGAGGATTGTAGGTTTGAGGGCCAGCCTTAGCTACATAATAACTAGCCCAAGCTACACAGTAAAGTCAGCAAGTTGAATCCAGAGATATATAATCACCAAAGGAACTAGGAAACAAGAAGGACTCTAAGAGAAAAATGCATGGTCCCCGGAGAATGGGAAGGGCCAGGATCTCCTAAGCTAATTTGGAGCATGAGGGTAGGGGAGAGGGAGCTGGCAGAATGTGAGGAGGAGAAGAGGAGGGGAGAGGAGGAAATGGAGGAGCAGAAAGGTTGAGTTGGGGGAAGAATAGAGGAGAGCAGGATGAGAGATATCATAACAGAGGGAGCCATTATACGTCCGAGGAGAAATCTGGCACTAGGGAGATTTCTACAAGGATGATACCAACTGACAATCTAGGCAATGGTGGAGAGGCTACCCTAAATGCCCTTTCCCCATAATGAGACTGATGACTACTTTATATGCCATCCTAGAGCCCTCATCCAGTGGCTGATGGAAGCAGAGGCAGACGCCCACAGCTATACACTGAACGGAACTCTGGAACCCAGTTGCAGAGAGGGAGAAATGAAGATCAAGAGGGTCGGGACCATATTGGTGAATCCCACAGAAACAGCTGACCTGAACAAGGGGGAGCACATGGACCCAGGACTGCAGCTGGGAGGCCATCACGGGACTGATCCAGACCCCTGAAAGTGGATGTCAACAAGGAGGCCTCTGCACCCTATGGGGCCTCTGGTAGTGGATCAGTATTTTTCCCTGGTGTAAGAAGGGACTTCAAGAGCCCATCCCACGTGAAGGGATGCTCTCTTGGCCTGGACACATTCAGGAGGGCCTAGGCCTGGCCCAGGATGATGTTGTGGAATTTGAGGAGCCCCCACAGAGGGCCCTACCCTCCATGGGGAGCGGAGGGGGAAGGGAGAGGGGGCTGGTGGGAGGTTGGGGGGAGGGGGAGAGGGAGAAGGGATTGACATGTGAAATTATAATTTTGTAAAAATTAAATTAAAAAAGCAGAAAAAAGTAATATGCCACAATCAAGTAAAATTTATCCAGGAATGCAGGTTGGTTTAATAGCTAAATAAATAAATGTGATATACTAATAGAATAACAACCAAAAATATATACCCATTACAATAGGAAAAAAATTTACAAACCCTAATGTCTTTTCACAGCTAAAGAACAAAACAATTCTCAACAAGCTAAGGATAGAAGAAAAATTAACCTAATGAAGACTTCTACGAAAAGATCCTTAGCTAAGAACAGACTTTGTGGTAAAAGACTGCATTTTCATTCTCCTAAGATCAACAATAAGACAAGGATATCTGCTTTCACCACTTCTGTTAACACTCTACTAGAGGGTACAGTTAGACAAAGAAAACCAAGGGGCTGGCAAGGTGGCTCAGTGGTTAAGGGTGCATACTGTTCTCTTGTGGAGGAGCCAAGTTCAGTTCCGAGCACCCATGTCAGACAGCTCATGACTTCACAGCCACTGAGGTAGCTGCACAAGACATGCACAATGCTACCCCAACTTTTTCTTAAATTTTATTTAATTTATTGTGTTATTTGTGGCTTGTAGATATGAGTGCAGGCAGACATGAGCCCTGTCATATTAATGAAAGCCAAAGGACAACCTTCAGAAATTAGAACTGCTTCCACTGTGGGATTGAAGGGCCAAGCTTGGGTCTTCAGTCTTACACAGCAAGTGCTTTCACACACTGAGCCATCTCACCTGCCCCAAATCCTAACAGGATCCAGAAGAAGAGTATAAAACCAGTTCTACTAAGCATGTTTGAGCATGTAAGAACTGTAAATCAAGATACCACATACTCTCCTCCTACTTGATCAGTTGTGGTGTCTTGAATGAGAAGGGTCCCCATAGGCTCATACAGTTGAATATTTGGTCCCCAATTGGTGGAACTATTTGGGAACGAGTAGGAGGTGAGTCTTGATGGAGGAGATGTGTCACTGGGGACTGGCTTCAAAGGACTTGCACAATACCCAGTGCTCTCTCCCTCTCTGCCTCATACTCTCAGATCAAGATATAAGCTCTCAGTGGTTCTTGCTGCCCAGACTTCATTCCATCATCATGGACTCCAAGCCCGTGAAACTGTGAGAGTGAACTAAACACTTTGTTTTATGAATTGCCTTGGTCACTGTGCCTTATCACAGCAATAGAAACATAGCTAAGAATCAGTCTATTCTCATGAACTAGAAGCCCATCATCATAGATGCCACACCTGACATCCAATGCAATATAAGAACCAGCCTAAGTCTGAGACCCATTCTTCGTGTCTCTATCTCCCATTCTGATCAGCTACACCTGCAGATGCCCCAGGCCCCATGCCCCATGCCAAAGCTCTGACTGCATGCCCTCTAACCAGCCATCTTGTAACCACCTCAAACCCAGCAGCACCATAGATGACAGGCTCAGGAGAGAACCTTGCAGAGGCCAAGGAAGCAAATGTGAGACCATTTAGTTAGGGAATTCTGGGGGTCCAGACACCAGTGGCCAAAAACAAAAGAAACAAGACTTCAAGAATGTATGCTTGGGAGACGCAGGGGTCAATACAATCAAAATACATGGTATGCATTATGATGTCATCAAACAATGTTAAGAGTTGCATTTTAAAAAGAAGATATGCTTGTCATTGGCCTTACAGACTCCTCCTTCCATGACAAACAACATTAGGTAGAAAATCAAAACAAAGCAACAGCAGGTCTTTCTAAAGTATGTAGTCCAACCCAACCAAGGGTTTTTCTTTCTTTCTTTCTTTCTTTCTTTCTTTCTTTCTTTCCTTTCTTTCTTTCTTTCTTTCTTTCTTATTAATTTTTATTTACCAAGAGCCTTTTTTAACAATGCCCTAGGTACTGAACTTAGAGTTTTGCTATATTATAGTCCCTTTACTTTTATGCAATTTTCAAATTTTACAGGTTAAAAGACTTTGGGGATTTTTTTTTAATAGTAAAAGTTTTTTTTTTTTTAAGGACTAAACACAATGAAAAATACATACAAAAACCAAGTTAGAAGGCTCCTGAGACTTTGGAATTCTGGGTCTTTGTGAACACTGACATTTCTCTGAAGACTAGATTTCTTAGAAACTAGAAAGCTAAGCTCTTCAAAGATGGAATGAATTCTAGGAAAAGAGAAAGAAAAAAGGAGGGGGATGTCCAAATTACAAGAGACTAATCCATACTAAGAAAATGCAACTTATGGACTTTGTTTGAATTCTAATATAAGTCAACTGTAAAAAATAAAAATAAAAATAAATAAAAAACCTTAATAAGACATGGAAATTTGAATGTGCTTGGATATGTGAAAACGAGCAATCAATAATAATTCTGTGAAATAAGATAATTTTTAGGTTTTAGTGCTTTTTTTTTAGAGACACACTGAATTATTTGTAGGTAAGATCAACTCTAAGGTGGGAGTACCACTCAGTGACTACCACCTGATAATGGTGCAGACCCCATCACCAAAGGAAGCCACCTCCAGGGAACGGGAGGAGCAGTTAGGTATAATGTAGATGTTCCCATAGCTGAATCCAACTTCCTACCACTACAAAGTAGATTTCAGAAGAGAGATAAAGGGGACCAAGAAAATAGACACAAAGAACCGCTACCTCCTGATAGAAGGAATTGTGTTTAATCGTGGAAATACTCGGCCCTGGAAAACTTTCCTATATTTGGTGGGATTGGGGGTTTTTTCTCACTCATTTTGGAGGTAAGAAGCAAATGAAAGCAGGGCCTTTAATCCCTGGTCCTGCTGGAGGAATCCAGGGAACAAAAGTCTCTCTTTTCTATCCAACATCCGAGGTCATTGTCCTCCAAATACCAAGAACAGCTCTGGCTAAGGCCGCCCCATGTGACATCTCCAGCCTAATCATCCAGAGACACCTCACTCTGTGCCCTGGAAAGACGGTTCTCCTCATCTTCCTCAACACTGGCCTGAAGAATCCTCAGCAGTTTGAGCTCAGGGTTCCAGCCAGTTGTATCAAAATTTCCGGACCGGCTACTGCCTTTGCTGGAAGTCATTTCCACCATTCTCTCGTCCAAGTCACTGTAAATGGACTCATATATTTCAGGACCTAAAAGAAGATCCAACCATTAATACCATGGCATATTTCTCCCAAATAACTGTGACAAGAGGCATTTTAGAAAAGAGCAGCTCTCTTTAGGACCTCTCCAAAGCATAGGGCTGTGCTCACACACATACCCCTCCACCCCCGGGCCCCTCCCCAGAAAGTCAGCCATGCACAGGGTCAGCTCTCCCCATTTGCACGCACTTAGTAAAATTCCTCCACTTACTCTCTTCATAGATGTAGTCTGTGTAGTAGCTGTCGTAGTCATATAGGTCTGAGTAGTCGTCTATGGAAACCTAAAACTCATCAAGGTAAGCAGAAGAAACATGAGTCTGCACCTTAGCAAACTAAAAGAACCTTCTAAAAGACACTCTTCTTGGGAAAATTAACATCCAAGACAAAATAAAAGAAAGAAAGCCTATATCACACATTCTTTGCTTTCAGGCCACCCAGATAAAGCTAGAACCCACTTCTCCCCATTTCCAGAAATCAACCAAGGGAAGCCTGCCTCCAGAGATGGATGCCCACTGCTCTCATCAAGAGATGTGGTCTATTTTCACTCCTGGAAATTTGAGTAAAATCATGACTTTTTTAGCCAATCAATGGTGCAAGAAGTAACACTGTTTTAGCTCTAAGTTCATAACTTAAGGAGTGAATAGAAAAAATAATAATTAAAAAAGGAAAAAAAAAAAAACCCTGAGAGATGGCTCAGCAGTTAAAAGCAACTGTTGCTCTTGCAGAAATGTTTAGTTCCCAGCCTCCATATCAGGAAGCAAGTAACTACCCACAATTCCAATTCCAGTTCCCAGTGATCTGATGCCCTCTTGTGGCCCCTGCAAGGCACTGCACATACATAATAAACTCCCTCTGTCAAGTAATAACATACACGTAAAATAAATGTATTTCTTAAAAGATAGAAAGTGACTAGTCTGTCAATAAGCACCAATAAATCACATACAGAGAAATCATAGACAAGAACACAGCCAACTTAGCTAATAGCTCCCTCCCAGTGGAACTCAAGTAAGAGAAGAATGACTGTCCAGTCAAACAAGACTTATTAGAAACAACACATCATGGGCTAGGCATGGTAGCGTGAGCTTGTGTTCATAATCCTCTTGAGGTTGAAGGAGGAAGATCAAGTCTGATAACATCCTGGGCTACATAACAAGTTCTAGGCTAGCCTGGGTTACATAACAAGATCCTGTCTCAAGGGGGAAAAAAAAAACTAACTAAATAGCTAGATCATCTCAGCTTGTACTTTGGGATAGTTTGCTACACAGTAAGAGATTATGGAGACTGCCCCAGCAGATACCTCGGTGCACACTCACATGTTTCACAGAGGTTTTTTCCTCCTCCTCTTCCTGCTGCTTCTCCTTTGTCTCACTTTGCTCTTCTGATGGGATTCTTTGACCTGGTAACACAAAGTAGGTTCAATCCTCTTCTTACTGGCATTTCAGGTCCCATTGTTGGGCTTCCAGTTTATCCCTAGAGGAACCCCCTATTCAGAACAAGATAAGGCCTTGGGGGCAGGTGAATTCCATTTTTGTCAAGGAGTATCTTTTTTGTTTTTATAACTGATGAATAAAAATATTGTACCTATTTATGAGTTTCCATGTGATGTTTCAAAATATGCATACCCCATGTAAAGCCTTCTGAGATGTTTGTGAGCTGTTTTCCTAGGTTGTAACCATGTCTGCTAGAGACTAAAAGTGAGAGTAGAGCACATGCTAAGAGACCCAATGCCAGCAGTGGTGGGGCACACAGCACTCAGAGGCAGAGGCAGGTGGATCCCTGTGCGTTCCAGGCCAGCCTGATCTACAAATCGAGTTCCAACACAGCTGGGACAACACAGTGAGACCCTGCCTCAAAAAAAGCGGGAAGAGGGCTGGAGAGATGGCTCAGTGGTTAAGAGGACCGGCTGCTCTTCCAGAGGACCCAGGTTCACATCCCAGAATACACAATGAAGCTCACAACCATCAAAAACTCTAGTCCCAGGGGATCAGAAGTCTTCTTCTGGCTTCCTTGGGCACCAAATGCATATGGTCCACAGATACACATGCAAAACACCCATAAACATAAAACAAAATTCAAATATAAAAAGAGAACCCCAGGCCTCTTTGTGGTCATTGCTGGAGAGGCAGGCACCAAATGAAGCCCAGTCCCTTATGACTTCTGACTGAAGAAGGAACCATAAAAGGCATTTCAATGCACCTTTGCATACTCAGGGGAATGTCACGTCTTCCCCTCTTTCCAAAGAGCTATCTGGACAATATGCCCATTAAAGGACAATAAAGTTCATGTTGTAGGAGAGCATCTCAAACGTCATCAAAGTGGCAAAGCAGTCCAGGTTTTCAAGAAGAATTGTGTCCTCTATGTTGAATAAGTAGAGCAGATAAAAGCTAATGGCACAATTGTTCATGTGGACACTTGTCCCAGCAAGGTATCATTACCAGGCTAAAGCTGATCAAAGAAACATCTAAAACAAAAAACCAAGTCTCACCACATAGGAAAGGAAAGAGCAAACACCAGTGATGGGGAATGTACTGTGTATGTTTATCTTATTGATTGTTGAATAAAATACTTTTGGCCAATGAGACAGGAAGTTAGCAAGGACTAAGAGTCAAAGAGGATTCTGGGAAATGTAGTAGAGAAGTGATGATCCAGGCAGGAAGTGACATGACAAGGAGACTCATATCTAAGCGAGGAAACAGGAAGTGTGTCTCTTTTCACCTCCACCCTTGCTCCAGCGGCACAATGTGATCCCCCGGCAAGGAGGGACGCCAATAAGGCGTCTGATAAGATAAGTCTTATAAAATATATAGGTTTATGATAGTTAAGACTGAGCTAGCAGATGAGAAGTCCTAGTCATTGGCCAAGCAGCTTTGAACCTAATACAAGTTTTTGTGTATTCATTTGGGCCCTAACTCAGGCAGGCAACTGGCGTAAAGCTCACACGTGGCGGTGGGGCTCAGTTGGCTTTTGGTGGAAAGATTTATCGTAACACACCAGGGAGGAACAATTGAAAAATGCAGGAAGAAAGCAATAGTATATGTAACTTGCATTCAAAACTGGTCACTGAAAGAGACAGACAGAAAGACAGACAGAAAGACAGACAGACAGACAGACAGACAGACAGACACAGAGCAACGCAGGATTCCTCAAAGAGGTACAAAGTGGATCCCTGAAATTATCAGCAGCAAAAGAAACTGGATCTCTAAGATGGGCATGGCAGTGCACTCCTGTCATCCCAGTACACAAAAGTAAAGAAAGAAGGATCAAGAGTCTGAGGTCAACCTGAGTTCCAGGCCAGCTTGGGCTACACAGTGAGAACTTGTCTCAAAAAGGAATCAGGAAGCTGCTAACTTTGTCTCCATCCATTACTACCCCTGTTTGAGAATGTCACTTGTCCTCCTCTGGTGATACCTCCAACAGACCCATGGTAGTTTCTGAATACAGGCCCTAGGGTGTGTCTTTTACACACGATGTTTTCCCACCCACATCCTTAATGCACCCATCCTCTCTTTCTCAGCCCTCTCTAGTCAAACAGCTTCCAAGTACTCTGCTAAAATAGAGCACTTCTGTTGTTTTCATGAGCACTGCTTCTCTCACCCAAGCTTCACACTAGCAACACTAGACAGTTTTAACAGACATTGGTCCCTGATTCCAGAAATACTGATCTAAAACATGCGGGGTTCAGGCTGGGTGTTAAGTTTTAAAAGCTTCTCAGTTGGCTTCAGTGTGCAGTCAGGATGGACCTACTGACCTGGGACATAAAGGGCAAACAAACATAGGTTTAGAGAGTCTATGTAGGCCCCTCTCTCCATGCTCTCCCTTAAACCCTCTCAGCCACACTAAGCTGTTACACTAAGCAAGATGCCTTTTCACAGGCCACTCCCAATTCCAGAAACTCTATTCCCACATCAGGAACCCCACACATGTTTGAGATCCAATTCACCAATCATCTTTTCTGTAAAGCCCATCTCAACTCAGGGAGGACAGGCCACTGCTCTGAGACCATAACTCAGAGAGGCATTCCAGTCACCCAAGCAAAGAAGCTCTTGTTGGGAGAGCATCAGGAAGAAGCACAGAAGGTACCAGAGATACTTGTGGGAGTGATCATCCTGGATATGAACTCACCTGGGACAAATCTCCTCCTACCCTGGGCCTCAGCCTCCTCTACTACCTACATAAAGTCGAGACCCTTTGTAGACCTTCAGGCTAATGGATAATGCCGATACCAGAGAACAGTGGGATGTGAAGCAAAGCAAGAGGACAGCATCCTTCTCAGGGACATCTCACCTGAGCCCTCTCAGGACCCCAGATTGCAAAATGAATTCTCAGAATTTGTTGTTTACAGAGTAAAACCAGCAATACACAGTCTGAGCAATGCAGCACACACAATCTTGCAAGATTCTGGAAGAGTCTTCCTTGGACTTTCCTACTTTGCATTCAGCTGACAAATGTCAGCCAGGAAGCGTTCCATGTTTCCCTCAATCGTATGAGATCAGAGCTCCAAAAAGAGAGGTACTGTTCTGCATTTCAACATGAATACCAGTCAAAAAAGGCTGCCTGTTGAGTACTGGCTACTGTTGATACAATGTGTGACTGCCCGCTGAGCCCAGATTTTGGTGGGGAAACCAGAGGACTCTTGAGAGACAGGATCTGTCTATGAAACCCTCAAACTTCCAACCATCCCACCTCAGCCTGTGATGTACTGGTAGAGGCATGTATCACTACACCTGCTTCTCACTCTAAGCTTTTTAAAGGAAGACCTGAAGAAAATACAGCTATGAATCAGTTGTCTCTCAAATGCCTGTGGGCAGCAGACATGTAGCCTAACCTGCTTGGTCAGTAACTATTTAGTTCAAGAATGACTTCAGGGTAGACCAGCCAGCCAGACTGAGCATTTCCAGAACAATTCTAAATGCTTGACAAAGGCACGTTCTAAAATGACAAGAGCAAGTTTGACTACTGCCCTTAGCTACATCCTGGGATGCCATCACTTGACTAATCGTGTGTGTGTGTGTGTGTGTGTGTGTGTGTGTGTGTGTTAAATGTCGACTTATACATACTTAACTGGCCCTGCACATAACTCTGCACATAAATCTTCTCTTTCTTCTGCACCTCCTGAAACTACATAAGAAGGAACTGAATTAGGACTTATGGAAACAAAGAAAACTTTTACAAAAAGAAAGAACTTAAAATGGCAGCCAGATAGTAATGTCATAACCACAACCAACAGACATGGGGAACCCATCTTCTCAGCTACCCCTTCCCAGCCCTCACTGTACCCATACCCAAGAGGCTGCCCTCACTACCTGTTTCGGAATAGAGGTTTTCACCTTCCTCTGCTGCTCCTGCTGCTCCTGCTGCTCCTGCTGCTGCTGCTTCCTGAAACCTGGTAACCAGAGAGGCCAGCTCAGTTCTCTCCCCCACCAGGAGTCCATACCTTCTGCTAGGCTACCTACTGTGACCTGCCCCACTATGGTGACTCTCCTTCCCTGGACAGGACTAAGCAAGAAGCTGCTCTGAAACTGGAGTCTCCTAAGTTCTCCATGTGACTGTGGCAAGAAATACACCTGAACAGGGACCATGAGAGAACTATGTGGTGGCAGAGGGGAGGATGGTACCTAAAGGTCCAGGCCCAGCTCCTTCGCCTCTCTTCAGGTCGCGCCTGGTACGTAAAGGTCCAGGCCCAGATCCTTCACCTCTCTTCAGGTCGTGCCTGGTACGTAAAGGTCCAGGCCCAGATCCTTCACCTCTCTTCAGGTCGTGCCTGGTACGTAAAGGTCCAGGCCCAGATCCTTCGTCTCTCTTCAGGTCGTGCTGCAGCTTCCTCAGATGTTCAGGGAACCGCAATGATGGTCTCTGCCAGAAAAAAAAAATTAACAAAAAGCTCATGTGTGGGTCTTTCTTTACCCCAAGCACATGTATTCACCTAGTCTATAAACACTATAAACACATTTTGAGAAGCACATTTGTCAGTGGCTTGTACCAAGGTCCAAGGAAGAAGGGAAAGGAGTTGCAACCAGAGTCCAGAAAACCCAGAGGTGTTCCTCCCCTTGCCCCTTCCCCTATACTGGCTTTTACATCCATACAATCCAGCCCTCGGCTTGCAAGGCCTGGATTCAGAGTGTCAGGCAGAATAAAGAATGGACAAATAACTAATTCTTCCTGTCTGGATGACAGATGGGGTTGACCTCCTTGTAGGCCTTCTCTGAGGCACCATGGTTCTTACTTGCAGGGTGAGGCGGTGTACAGTTAGATACATCTTAGAAGAAAGAGCGCTGTCGGGTCGGGTCTTTCTCAGGGGACGATTCTGTGTCAACTCTATCTTCACCTTAGGATAAGTCATGGCTTTCTCATGTGCCAAAATGCTAACAGGGACAGAGACACCCAAATAGTCAGCAAACTTTCCAGTCAGCTCCCCCCAGAGAGTGGGACTCAAAAGAAAGAAGAAAGGGGCTCAAATCTAGAGAAATTTCCACTTTAGCTCTGGAAAGGCTTGCTTGAGCCTTTCCCACCCAACTATAATGACCACAACTGAGTCTATTAAGGGCTAACTCTATGCCAGACTCCTATGCTTTAGACCACTAAAATTTACAGCACCCCAAGGTGAGATATTATCATCCTCCTCATTTTTGCAGATGAGAAAAACTAGGCAGAAATGAGCTATGTAAGTTACCAATAATTCACAAAGCCAGTTTCAATATGCAATTCAAAGGTGGTCACACTGCAAACCACATGCACTGTTCTGCCTCCCAAATAGACAAATGTCCATAATTAATCTATGGGGGAGAAAAAGGAGAACAGGAGTTCAAATGAGAGTCTACACAATATGCTTAACCGGGAGCCTAGTAGCAGGTCAGTGCTTGATGAATGATGGTGATGATGACTGTCACCCTGCCTGTTAGTAATCCAAACAAGTGGGGTCTCAGCTTGCTCCCTGTCACCTTTTTCAATTCCAGTAAAAAGCAGGGCTCTGGCTGTCCCCACTGACTTCATGATACTCACCACTCCTTCAAGAGATCCTGGGGAAGCATGCTGAATTGGGCCCATAAAGGTATGGCGTCAGAACCTAACTGGTCAAGTAAGTGCACCGGGGAAGGAGGAGGTACAATCACCCCTGGACTTCTCGAGTGTGTCACTGCATACTGTCTTCCAGAGAAATATAGAGATGGCTTGGTTTTCTGGAAGAAAAACAGTGCAAGGGACTCTCTGAAGCATTCTCATCAAGTCTGCTTCTTCCCACCAATATTCCACCCCGATGAGTGAAGCCCCTTGTTTCCAGACTGTGAGTGTCAATTTGATTGAATTAAAAACAAAAACAAAAAAACCACTGAGGTGAGGTAGGAGAGATGGCTCAGGGGTTATGACCATTGGCTGCTCTTCCAGATGTCCTAAGCTCAATTTCCAGCAAGCACATGGTGGCTCACAACCATCTATAATAAGATCTTATGCCCTCTTCAGGAATGCAGTTATACATGCAGAGAACTCATCCATAAAATATAAGTAAATAAAATTAAAAAAAAAAAAACCACTAGTGCAGCAGGTGACAGGGCTCAGTGGGTAAAGACACTTGCTGCACAATCTGGAACCCATGATAGAAGGAGGGAATCAACTCTCAAGCATTATCCTCTGATCACTAAATCCATACCATGATACATATGTTTACACACATGTGCACGCAGGCACACAGAAACACACACACACACACACACACACACACACACACACACACACACACACACACAAACACACACAACCAACGGTGGTTTGAAAGACAATGGCCCCCAAAAGAATGGCACTATTAGGAGGTATGGCCTTGTTGGAGGAAGTGTATCACTGTGGGGGCGGGCTTTGAGGTCTCTTTTGATCAAGCTTCCCTCAGTGTGACTGTCAGTCGACTTCCTCTTGCCTGCAAGATCTAGGTGTTAGTATTCAGGCATCTGTACTGGCCTGCCCTTAGGGTTGACAGGGTATGTCCTCAGCTGTAGTCACTAAGAGCACCACCTGTGCACATTTACTACATTCCCTTTTAAAAGAGCCCTGCCCCCATCTCTGTCTGTCTGTCTGTCTGTCTCTCTCTCTCTCTCTCTCTCTCTCTCTCTCTCTCTCTCTCCCTCTCTCTCTCCCCCTCTTCCTCTCTCCCTCCCTCCCCCCTCTCTCTCCTTCTCTGCCTGTCTCTCTGCCTCCCCTTGCTACCTCTCTTTTCTCTTCAGCTGCTACTGTCACCAGAGGTGGGTCTCCTCTCCTCCTCCCCTTTTTCCAATTCCCTTTCCCTAGTAAAAAAAACTCCTCCACGTGAGCTCTGTCATATGAAGTCTTTCTCTCTGGTGCTGCTTTTTACATTATAACAGTAGGACTCTCAGGTACTCCAGTATCACGTCTGCCTGCATGCCATCATTCTCCCTGCCATGATGATAATGGACTGAACCTCTAAAACTGTAAGCAGGCCACCTCAATTAAATGTTTCCTTTATAAGAGTTGTCGTGGTCATGGTGTCTCTTCACAGCAATAAAAGCCCCAACTAAGACAGTGGCACAATCTGGAACCCATGATGGAAGAAGAGAATCAACTCTCAAGAGTTATCCTCTGCTCACTACATCTATACCATGGTACATATGTTTACACACACACACACACACACACACACACACACACCACCACCACCACCAACAACAACAACAACAACAACTAATAAAAATGTTAAAGAGATTAGCAAAGCACCCTCTGGGTGTGTCTGTAGGGACTCCAGAAATAATCAGACCATGAGGCCACTAGATGTAATGAATGGATTAATCCCTTGATGGGTTCCTAATATGATGGCTTAATTGGGACACAGTAAAGGGGAGGTGGAGCCTGACTGGCAGCAGTAGGCAACTGGAAACATGGTCCTAGAGACTACATCTTTCCCTAGCCTCTTCCTGCACTCCTTCTCCTTGCATCCAGTCTGCCAAGAATAGAACATGCCACATGCTCCTACCATCCCAATATTCTGCCAAGCAACTACGTCGTGTGAACCCTTTAAAACTTGAGCCAGCATAAATCTTTCCACCTGTGAAGTTGCTCTCTCAGATATTTTGGTGACAGCAATAACAACAAAGAATAACACATAGACCCACTTCAACTTTTCCCACCTTCTCCTCCATGAAGGACACCCAGTTTCTCCCTTGTTGGGCTTCTAATATGCTGTTCCAATGAGATCAAGTCAGGATCAATTTGCTTTTCTGGAGAAGCCATTCACTTATCCCCTGAACAAACTAACAATTACCATCCAATTAGGTGCCAGACAGAAAGTGAGAGTTGGTCAAGGAAGGAAATGGAGCAGGAACTACTTCCAGAAACACAAGATCACATTTACCAGAAAGGCAGGCTTGGGGTTGGGAGCCCAGATCTTAATAACTCCTGGTCCACTGGAAAACTATCCCATCACACTGGGGATTTGCTTTTAACTGACAGAAGTCCCCCGTGATAGCCACTACTTCCTTCTGTCCTCTCTTCAAAGAGTTTCTTACCTTCCCACAGAACATAGACAGGGAAGGGGTCTGAAGATGTCTGTAGCTATTACTAAAGAAAGGGTTTTGTGGGCTGGAGAGATGGCTCAGAGGTTAAGAGCACCAACTGTTCTTCCAGAGGTCCTGAGTTCAATTCCCAGCAACCACATGGTGGCTCACAACCATCTGTGATGGGATCTGATGCCCTCTTCTGGTGTGCAGATATGCATGGAAGCAGAGTGTTGTATACATAGTGAATGAAATCTTTAAAAAAAAAAAAAGAAAGAAAGAAAAGAAAGGGTTTCGTTCACAGATTTTGTTCATAGATGAAAAGGGGTGAGACAGGGTGGGGAAAACCTAAAAGAAAAAACCATCAACCCTACAGAATCATTTCATAAGGGACAGAGCATAGAACTCACCTCTCCCAGTTTCTTTCTCTTCTCAGGCGATCTGGAAAAAGCAGACTTCTTTCCAACTGAGCTTGAAATAAGAAAAACTAGAACTCATTCCCAGACATTTTAAATAGAAGCACTAAGGATATTTGTGAAAGATGGTGGGAAGCTGCACATTTCATTTCTTTCATACAACCACCATTCTATCCCTGGCCCACCTACCTCCATGATTTCTTTACATAAAAGAAAATGAACTTCTATAGCTCTTGTTGGTGACAGCACACACACACACACACACACACACACACACAAAGACGGACAATTTGGGCACAAAGAGAAAGTGGAAAAGAAATAAGATTGATATAAATGAGAAGGCTGTTTTATTGTTGTTATAATTCAGTCACTTAACAAGAATTGAAAAGCCAAACACCTTTCCTACAGTTGTCAATGTTAGCAAGCTTTGGGCTTTCTCTCTGCTTATGCACAAGGTGCCCTAGGCCTCAGTAATGAGATCAAAATTTCATATGTTTCACTGAGGGCTCTTCTACTCATTTTTGAAGAAAAACAAAATTTAAAAAAAAAAGCCCAAAATGTGTTTCTTTTAAGTGAAAGGGTTTTGTTTTGTTTTGTTTATGTATTTCAGGGGCTGGGGCTACACATGCCACAGTGCTCTTGTGGTGATCAGAGGACAACTTGTAGGACACAATTTTCACCTAACATGTGGGTACCAGGGATCAAACTCAGGTCATTGGGCTTGGTGGAAAGTGTCCTTACCTGCTAAGTAATCTCATGGACCCAGCACTTATTTCTGAAACCTTACAAACAAATTTAGCTTTGGGAGGAGGACTGCAAGATGGCTCAGCAGGTAAAGATTCCTGTCACCAAGCCAGATGACCTGAGTTTGATCCCTGGGACCCAAAAGGTGAAAGGAAAGGAGAGAACCAATTACTACAAGTTGTCCTCTGATTTTTGTAAGTCATCCTCTGACTTCTACAAGGGCACCTTGGCATGCTGCCCCCACCCCCAATTAATAAATCATTTTTAAAAAATGGAAAGTCATGCCCCCAAGCCCAACTACTACAGCAAGTTGTCTTCTGACCCCTACACCTGTGCTGTGGCACACACATGCACACAAGTACAAATACAACAAATGTAAATAAGCTGGACTCTGTCTTATATGCTCTTTACGTCCCTGTAGAATCTGAAGTACAGAATTCCCACAGCAGGCATCTCACAGTAACATTACAATAGAGCTCCGGGGCCTTAAGAGGCAGAAGCAAGCCTGGACCACCTTCTGTGTTTGGCCTGTGGCTGCTCACAGTGAGGGAGTGAAAAAGGAGACCACAAAAGGGGTCTGCGGAAGACCACAGGGAATTTAAAGAGGATGGGTATCAAAGCCTCTAAGTTCTAGACAGGATGCTCACCTCACAATCTTCTCCGAATCTTCTGGAACCCAGGTTACAACCATGTTTCTGACATCTTCTGGGAAAGGAAGTTTTGCCTCATTCAAATTCAACACTGAAAGCTAGAAAAGGTGTCAATGGTCTGGTACTGAGCACCAGCAGGAGGTTGGGGCCTCAGACCTAATACAGTGTTGTTATAGCCACCAAAAACCATTTGGTGATTCAGAAAAGTATTTATTTAAAGATTTATTTATTATGTATACAGTGTTCTGTCTGCATATTTTGCCTACAGGCCAGAAGAGGGCACCAGATCTCATTACAGATGGTTGTGAGCTACCATGTGGTTACTGGGAATTGAACTCAGGACCTCTGGAAGAACAGTCACTGTTCTTAACTGCTGAGCCATCTCTCCAGCCCGAAAATTATTTAAAAACAAACAAACAAACAAACAAAAAAACCTTCCAGCTGGGCATTTCTTTAGTTTCACCCTGTCTGTAATTATAGAAATCCATATGTGCTAACATGTTAATTTCCCCCACCCCTGAGATCAATCACACAGCACGAGGGCTCAAGGAAATCCTATGAATCATCTAGTTCATATTCTGTTTAAGATTTTTTCAAACTTATTTTTTCAAAGTTATCAAAAATACAGTCTTGCCCACTGATCAGACTTGGGAATGTAGAGGCAGGGGGATTTCTGTGAGTTCCAGGACAGCCTAATATACATAACAAGTTCCAAGTCATGTCTCAAAAAAGCAAGAAAGGGGAGAGGAGAAAAGAAAAAGACATAGAGAAACAGGACAGAAAATATCAGAATACTTCCCCTAGGATGAAGGTAAAGATTATTTTATGCTCTTTGTATGTTCTTTTTGACTACAAAATCTAACATTGTTAGCTGGCATATAAAGTAATGGGTTCCATTATAACAGTTTCATACATGTATATAAAATCCATGTCTAACCATGGATCACAGTTTTTAGTTGGAGTCATCAGACTAATGTAATGACCTTAAGACCCATTTTAAGCCTGTCATTTCGGCAATCTAAGTTCTCTGTTTATGAAATGAGAATTTTTACTTTAAAACTGAATATGTTCTATATAAGAACAGAAAGAAATCCTTACCTATTCCAAACATTCACAAATCACTCCCATGTGTCTAAAGACAATTTGTGGAGCTATTAGCACAGAGACAGTCTAGCATACAGAAAGGACGGCTATTATCTTCCTCATTTGATGATGCTGGGGCTGGAGAGATGGCTCAAAGAAAAAGACCCAGATCCAATTCCCAGCACTCAGATGGTGGTGGCTCACAACCATCTGTAACTCCAGCTCCAGGGGATCCAATGCCCTCTTCTGGCTTTGGAGTACCAGGCACACACATGGTACATAGACATACATACAGGCAAAACAACCATACACAGAGAATAAAAATTTTTAAGAAAGAATAATGTCAAAGGCAAAACATTCCCACTAACAAAAAGAAAAAGGTAGAGGAAGCAATTTTTAAAACTGTGACTTACTTTGGGAGGTCTAGAATGGCTGGTCACATCTTTGTCAAGTAAAGCCTTCTGAGACCTGGAAATAAGTTCCAAGCATGAAACAGAGTTAAAGGAAAAAACAAACGAATGGAATAACAAAGCTCATGCTCTGAAAACCTAAATACTTACTCTGAAAACCCATATACTAATCAAATAAACACAGGTACTCCTACACAGACATTGTACACTGCACTTCATACCTAGGTATCTCAACCAATTTAATCCATAGCCTATGCTTCTGTTTCTAACTATAGAGAAAGAAGTACAGCACCTTAAACAACAGTGGATTAAGGGCCAGTGAGATGGCTCAAGGGTAAAAGCACTTACTGTGCAAACCTGGCAACCTAACCTTGATCCCTGACACCCACACTGGAAAGACAGAACTGACTCCCCACAGTGTGTCTGTGCTGTTTTTTTGAGACAGAATCTTACTATGCAGCCCTGACCTCTACACATGCAGTGTCACGCTCACATGCTTGTACACATACACACACACACACACACACACACACACACACACACACAGGGTGGGGGGAGGGGGATCAAGTAAATACAATTTTTTTAGGTTTGTTAAGGCTGGGCACAGAAGTCCATGCCTTTTATCTTACCACTTGGGAGGCAGAAGCAGGCAGATCTCTGTGATTCAAGGCTATTCAGGGCTGCATAGTAAGACCCTGTCTCAAAAAAACAGCACACACACACACACACACACACACACACACACACACACACACACACACAGGAGAGAGAGAGAGAGAGAACCTGAGAGAGAACCTGTAATGTTTTCATATCATTTGTTCCTCATTTTAAGACATCTTAGGCCGGGCGTTGGTGGCGCACGCCTTTAAACCCAGCACTCGGGAGCAGAGGCAGGCGGATCAAGACCAGCCTAGTCTACAAGAGCTAGTTCAGGACAGCCTCCAAAGCCACAGAGAAACCCTATCTCGAAAAACCAAAACAAAATAAAAAGAGTAATACAGAGGTATGCAAACAAAGAGTCCACTCATCCTGACTTATGAAGGCTCATGTGATGGAGACATTACTTTCACTGGTATTTTCTACAGCTCAGCCTTACCTCTGAGCACACATCATTTCTGCTCTGTGTTCCAAACTCTTGAAGAATGAATGTCCTCTCACTTGCAGACCCCTGCATATGTTAGTCCTATAGTTTGGAATTTCCTCCCTGCCAGCTTCCCACATGCAAGCCTCCCCCTTCAATATGCTGCTACAATTTCAGGGCTGGGTATCAATGCTCCCTGTGCAGATGACAGTGTCCTAGATTAGGAAATCTTTCCTGTGCTCCCATAACCCCAGGCAGCAGTCCTTTTAGGACACTCCACACTGGATATGCACCCCCCAACCCTGACCCTGAGGTGTCTTTACCTCCCCAGCTAGGATGAAAGACTTTGTGGATAGACACTGTCTTATTTCTGTGAGATAAACAAAACCCTGTTGTATCCCCAACACCCAGTCTGGTGACCCCCACTAAAAACATATCTGTGAGCTTCATATGTGACTAACTGTGTTGATCTATTGTTTGTACAAATAAAGCCTGTCTGAAGATCAGAGGGTGGAGCTTGCCACTAGCTAACCATAGAAGTCTGGAGGTCCGTACAGACAGACAGGAAGTGAGATGACTGGGCGGAGAAAGGAATGTAGGCAGGAGGAAACAGGAACTCAGTCTCTTTTCTGATGGGAAACTAGTGAGGTAAAGGTGGCTTTGGCTTGCTCCTCCTTTTCTCTGATCTCTCAGCATTTCCCCCTATATCTAACTCGGGGCTTTTATTATTAAGCCCTATTAGAACTCGTGTTACAGCTAACAAATGATGCTATGACTCCTGCTATCAAAAGGGCTTACATCCAGGGGAGCAAAGAGGATATAGGGTGGGAACACATTCATAAACATGGCAGGAACCATCACTGCTGGAAGAACCAGCACTCAGGGAGAAAGGTAAGAGGTAAAACTCAACCTTGACAGTGGAGGAGGTCATATTCACTCATTCATCAGAAACCTGAGCTTCCACTCTGTGCCACACACTGATGGAGACACAGGAAGAATTGGAACACTAGGCATCTATCCTGGGCCCTCTGGAAGGGCGGCACCATTAAGCCCATCTCTCCAGCCCCAGCACTGACATTTTAATGCAGGGAGACTGTGAACTGATGTCCCCACTCTCACTCCCAAAGTCATATCAATATTAAAGAGTCTGTAAAGCTGAGTGACTGACTGTGATCGTGGAGAGTTAAGATGTTACAGATCCAGAACCAAATTCTCTCAGCTGTCTTTCATTCCTTGTATAACCATTTGTTGTCCAACTCTGTGTCTGACCTAACATGCTGTAATGTTCAGGTGAAACCTTTTGAGATGTATTAGCATATCATTCATTAGCTGTCAGCCACCTAACAGCTAAGTAAGAATGTCATCATGTAGCATCTGAGACCTATAATAGAGATCTCTCCTGCTTTGTAGCAAGTAACCTCTGTGTTTCAGGCCATGATCATTCCTATTTGGCTAAAGAATGAATGATCTTATATTCCTTTTTGCTATTGTTTTTTTTTTCAGGATTTCTCTGTGTAACCCTGGCTGTCCTGGAACTCACTCTATAGACCAGGCTGGCTTCAAACTCACAGAGATCTACCTGCCTCTGCCTCCTTAGTGCTGGGATTAAAACATGGTCCACCATGCCCAGCTTGCATTCCCTTTTACCTGAGAGCTGTGTTTTGTGGCAATAAGGCAAACAAATCAATAAAAGGCTTCTCAGATCAGGATTCAAAGCAAAAGAGGACAAATCAAATGATGGTCAAGGTGTATATTTTAAATAACGTGCTCACCTCTGTGAAGAAGAGATTCTTAAGTTCAAACTAGATGACAAGGAAGAATTAGCTGCAGGAAGATCTGAGGCAATTTTCTCAAATGGGCAACTCTGCCCCCAAGGGACATCTGGCAACATATGGTATATTTTAGGTTGTCACAGTATCAGATGAGGTAGTGTCGGCTTGCAATGGGTACAGACAGGAATGAAGCTCAATGACCAATGACACACAGCACAGACCCCAGTAATAACTATCTGACCCAAAGTGTCAGTAATGGTGGGTTGCAAAACACCAGTCTAGGGAGCAAACTGTAGGTGCATGAACTGTGGGTGGGAAGTGTGGAATATGTGACAGACAGAAAGGACAATATGGTTGGAACCTACTGAACAAGGAAAACTGACATTTAAGGTAAGGTCCATCAGGAATGCAGGACCTCTTGTGGCAGCATAAGCCTACAGGGATTTAATGAAGAAGAGCAGAGGGAAGAGAAACTATAAAGGTTGAGAAAATTGCATGGGTAAAGTGTTAGAGACAGCAAGTCACCAACAGAAAAGCCAACTGGGCTCCAAGAAAAAGTTGACATCAGAGAGCAAGGACCATGACTAGGGAGGAGTACAGCAGTATGAAGTCTATAACTCTAGAATGAGCAGATTGGAAGGAATGAATGTGTGATGAGATGGGCAAAGCATTATTACTAGACGCTTAATCTGTTGTCCCTAATGGAAAACTGTTAGTGAAGAGGCAGGAGAGCACACTGGAGGTCATTCAGGAATAGTCTGGGACAGAGAACACAGAAGGGACAGATGGAACAGGAGCTGGCTAGTGAGGGGGCTCTCTGCAGCACTGGCACATAGGACCTGGCAGAGCAGAAGTGTGCCTATGTGCAAATGTGGGGCCCAGCCCAGGTACCTGGCTGGATGTTGATGCTGTTTTCTCAGGGCTCAGGTCCTAGAGAATCAGAGAGTAGTCCTAGTCTCTCCTATACTACCTTCAGCCTAAGAAAAAGAACCAGATTGCTTACATGGACTGGAGAAAAGAAACCACTTCAAGGGCAGTGCTTGGACTCTGGGCAGCAAGGTCTTTGAATTTTAAAAGCTGAGGTTTCCACAGAACTGCAATTTCATGTTTCAGTAAAACTGGGTGGCCAGGCTTTGCAAGGGATTAAAGAAAAAAAGCCACTAGGAGCTTACAAGTAGTTTCATATCTAAAAATAAAAAATAAAAAGACAGCATGAGCCAGGCATTTGGGAAGCAGAGACAGATAAATCTCTGTGAGCCCAAGGCTAGCCTGGTTTATTTAGTGAGTTCCAGGACAGCCGAGATTATGAAGAGACATTGTCAAAAAAAAAAAGAAAAAAAGAAAAGAAAAGAAGAAAGAAAGAAAGAAGAAAAGGTGAATAAGGAAAGAAGGAAGAAAGAAAAGAAAGAGAAAATGAAGGAAGAAAGGAAAGAAGGAAGGCAGACTGCATGTGTTCTCTGATGATCCTCAGAAACTGATAAGGTCACCCCATTATTGGCTAAGTTGTGCCCCAACACCTAAAATTTACTCGCTGAGTTCCTAATCCCAGTACTTGAGAATGTGACTATATTTAGAGACAGACTCCTTAAAGAGATAACTAAAATGAGATGAAGTCCTGTGGGTGTGTCCTTATCCAGTAGGGCTAGTATGTTTATGAGATTAGGGTAAGACACATAAGAAGACTGAAGAACAGAATGTCATTCTCTAGGAGAGGGGCCTAGGGAAAAATAACTAACTCCTTGATCTCAGACTTCTCACCTCCAGGATTCTGTGACAATGAATTTTGTTAGTTCTACTACCCAGGCAATGGTACTTCACATGGGCAAACCAATACCGACCTAAATTACCCTGCTTCTGGAATACACATGTGGCTGTTTCCTTCAGACTCTCCTCTCCCTGTTTAATACTTAACTTTGAGTATGTTCCACTTTGCTGTTTTGTTTTTGGTAACACTGGGGGTCAAACTCAAAGCCTCTTAGGTACTGAGCAAAGGTGTCTTATCACTGAGCTACATCCCCAGCCTCAGTATTTCCTTTTAAATCCATCCTTCTCAGAGTCATTATATGAATAAGAGAAACGCACACCTGGGACTTTGAGACAGTTTGCTAAGGAAAGATTCCATGATCACTTACCTGCGGTGACACCTGGTGGCTGGTTTCGACAATAAAGACCTCTCCTTAGGGAAATGTGATGGTTGTGGCTGAACCACCCTCTTCGGGGTCCACAAGCAGGTATCCATGATATTTACAATGGTGAGTCTCGGGAGTTTATCTGAAGAAGCGGACCAGAACAAACCGTTTAACCTACTGCCTGGAGAAGGGAATCAAACGAAAACATTATAAGGACTTTGTGAAGAAGACAACAGAGGCTAGCCAACGCACCTTCCACTTCCCGGGGAAATTTGCTGGATGAGTCCAGAATCCTAGGGTGGCCCCTCTCAATCCGTCGGAGAGTTGACCAGCATTGTGGATGCTGACAAACTGCCGAGTTGCAGATGGTTTCATCCCACTGATCCTCATTTGGCAAGTTCATGTCTATAAATGGTTTAAGACAAAACCCAATCTTACCATGTTTTAGCCCTCTGGAAAATTAGCAGACACACACTTTAGGGTTATTTTTTTAATGATTTATTTTTATTTAATGTTCATTGGTATTTTGCGTGCATGTATGTCTGTGTAAGGATGCCAGAAGCCCTGAACCTGGAGTTAGAGACAAGTGTGAGCTGCCATGTGGGTGCTGGGAACTGAACCCAGGTCCTTCAGAAGTGCTCTTAACCGCTGAGCCATCTCTCAGCCCCAGGGGTAATTATTTTTATACATTATACAGCCATGCAGTCCAGATCTCAATTTGAAACAAAACAATAAACTGCCTATTGAACCCATATAAGTAAATGTTGGTCACACCCAAAAATAGAGTATTGAAAAACAAGCAAGTATGAAGACAGTATGAGGTCAAAAGGCAAGTTTGGGAGACTATCTTCAAAAGCTTTTTTAATTGGCCATTTACAGCTGAGTGACTTGAGACTTTCCCATTCTGCCTCACTCTCCTCGTCTGTAAAATGACAAGTCTATTTCAGGAACTACCATTAATTTACAGACATCAAAAAACTTGCTTAAGACTGACCATGGTGTTGCACACCTTAAATCCTAGTGCTCAGTAAGCAAAAGAAGGCAAATCTTTGGGAGTTTGGGGTCAGCCTGGTCTACATAGTGAGACCCTGTCATCTCAAAGAACAAAAAACAAAAACAAAAAAATTGCTCAAATAATTCAAAAATAAATATCAGAGCCAAATGCCCATGCATGTAATCCCAGCAGTTTAGGAGGCTGAGGTAGGAGGATTAATAGGAATTTGAAGTCAGCCTAGGCTACATAATGCATTATGAGTCATCCTCAGCTAGTGTGGGAACTTTGTCTCAAAAAACAAAAGTAGGGTCTCTTTCCCAATGTTCCTCTGAAGAGACAGGCAGGTCTTTGTCCCCCATCTCTTTTTCTCTCCCTGTCTGCCTCTCTTTCTCTCTCCCTTCCCTTCCCCTACTACTTTTCCTTTCCCCAAAACTTCCCACATTAAAAAAAAAAAATGTAGGGCCAGGGAAATGGCTCAGTGAGTAAAAGTATTTGACAACAAACCTAACAATATGAGTTTGATGATCCCCAAAACCCACGTGGAAGGAGAGAACTGACTCCTGCAAGTTGTCCTCTGGCCTCTCTCTATACACACACAGATTATGCATGCAATAGAAAGCCTGGGAAAAACCAGGACTGGGAGCTGACTTGATGGCTGTGGAAGTGCAAGCCTGAGGACCTGAGTTCAGCTCAGCAGCAGCCACACAACATCCAGTCATGGCACTGTACTTCTATAACCTCAGTTCTGGGAAAGCATAGGACTTGTTGGTCAGTTAATCTAACTGCCCTGGCCATCTCCAAGTTCAGTGAGAGACCCTGTTTCAAGAAATAAGGTGGAGAAGGAAGACACTGGGTGTCAACTCTGAGCATATATATATATATATATATATATATATATATATATATATATGTATATGTATTCTGTATGTTCAATACATACCTGCACACACACATGAATTACACATACACACACACTGAAAAATATATTATCAACATCTTTTCCTTTCCCTCTTCATTTATCATTACAAAAATTCCACCATCTTTGAAAATTACAACCAGTTGAGACAGGAATACAGCTTTAATCCCAGCATTCTAGCAGGAAGAGGCAGGTGCAGCTATGAATTCAAGGCCAGCATAATCGACATAGCAAGTTTCAGGCCAGGCAAGGCTATACAGTGAGACTCCCATCTCAAAAAGAAACCAACAATAAAAATTCAAAGCAATGAGGTCACAGAAGTGCTATTTATCTGGCTCAAGCCTTTAGAAGGCATTCTTCACTTTTCAAAATGCTATAATAAAAACAAAACAAACAAACAAAAAGCTGGGTGGTGGTAGTGCACGCCTTTAATCCCAGCACTTGGGAGGCAGAGGCAGGCAGATCTCTGTGAGTTCGAGGTCAGCCTGGTCTACAGTTAGTTCCAGGACAGCCAGGGCTATTCAAACCCTGTCTTGAAAAAACAAATGCTATAATAATCACTACTGGTGAATGGCTTTGCTCAGACTGCAAATTACATGGCCTGTTGTCAATTCAGAGACCACTAACTTTTCATCTACTGCCTGTGTGGTCTTGACCAAGTAACTTTACCTGTCTCAGGCCATTTCCTCCTAAAGATAGTGGGGGTCCTACATAAGATTGTAAGAGGGCTGGAGGCCTGGCTCAGCAGTTAAGAGAACTGGCTGCTCTTTCAGGAAACTTGGGTTTAATTCCTAGCACCCACACGATGGCTCACAACCTTCTGTAAAACCAGTTCCAAAGGATTACATACTCCACAGATACTATAATGCATGTACGTGGTACACACATTCAAACTAGCATCACTACACATAAAATAAATTTTAAAAATTTCATCGTAGGAACATACATACCCACACACATACCAAGAATTAAAGAAAAGGAGAGGGGACTAACAGGGCACAAGAGATCTGAATGAAGAAATGGGGAAAATGAGGGGCTCTGACTAGGAAAGGGGGAGATAAATAGAAGGAGGAAGGATGATAAAATAACAGTAGAATGTCTGAAAAAGTCAAAAGGAATCATTCCTTTTTCCAGACAAGGTTTCTCTGTGTATCTCTAGCTTTCCTGGATCTCACTCTGTAGACCACGCTGGTCTTGAACTCACAGAGATCTGTCTGCCTTTGCCTCCTGAGTGCTGGGATTAAAGGTGCACGCCACCATGCCCAGAAGGAATACTTTTAACTATCTACCTAAAAATAGCTATATTTCATGTAAGTCAGTATATAAATAGACAAAGAATTTAAGTGAAATTTACCCATCTGGGCTAAGAGTACTCCCTCTAAGATCCATAGACCATCAACCAAAAAACCACACTAGGTATGAGAATCCCTCTTTTTAGTTGTTGGTCAGGGTTGTCCACGCAACTCCCAAAGCATTATAGGCTATTGCTATTGTCCTTGGTTGCCCCCAAAGGTGGAAGGTAAGTCTCTATTACTGAAGACATAATACACTTCAAACACATGGCTCAGATTAACCTGAAAACTTCCTCCCTAAGGATTATCAGAGAAACCATCAGTGATGCCCATGAGCACATCCATGATCATCATGGCACCACGACTCTAAGGGTGAAATAGAGGCATGCAGACCTTGGTGGTAACCAACAGCTCTCTAATGAGACTTAAGACCTGCTTAGCAAGTGGGAAAACATGCCTGGTACTGGAAGCCTTGTCAAGTCCTTAGGTCTAGGAAAGTTATGAATCGTGGAGGAAAACCTACAACTACCAATTTACTAAACCAGCATAATCCCTAATTTATACTCTAAATATATGTCCTTATACCCACAGGTAAGTGTGGTTCTCACCCCCTCATTAAGGAAACTTCTCTTTGCATTACTGAAAACCAAATCCAATCAAAATGAGGAGTTATAGAGCCCTGGTACATCTACAACACAATCCCTATACAACAAAGTGAGTTCTAGGACAGCCAGAGCTGTTACACAGAGAAACCCTGTCTCCAAAACAAACAAACAAGAAGAAATGTCAGAAGTGTTGTGAAATATTATTTTAACTGGGCAAAGATGTGTTACATGTGTTTATTCTACAGAATATTACTTTAACTGTGTAAAGGTGTGTTACACTTGTTTGTGCTGCCTTTGTTTAATTATGTAAAGATGTATTGCATTTATTTCACCTTGCCTGCCTAAAGCACCTGATTGGTAATAAAAAACTGAATGGCCGATAGTTAGACAGTAGAGGAATAGGTGGGGCTGGTGGGCAGAGAGAATAAATAGAAAGAGAAATCTAAAGAGGAGAAGAAGAATGAGGGAGAAAGAGAGGGACATGCCCAGGGCCAAAAGCCAGGCAGCCACCAGATAGGAGAAGCAGTGAAAGTAAGATATACAGAAGGAAGAAAGGTTAAAAAAAAAAAAAAGCCCCAAGGCAAAAGGTAAAAGAAACAGGTTAAGTTAAAAGAGCTAGCTAGAGGACAGGACAGGCAGTGGTGGTACAAGCCTTTAATCCCAGAACTTGGGAGGCAGAGGCAGACTGGTCTTTGTGAGTTCAAGACCAGCCTGATCTACAAGAGCTAGTTCCAGGACAGGCTCCAAAGCTATACAGAGAAACCCTGTCTCGAAATGAGCCTAAGGAGGCCAAGCATAACTAATAAGGAGTCTCTGTGTCATGACTTGGGAGTTGGTTGGTGGCCCAAAAAAGAAAACCTGATACACAGAAGCTATACTCATGAAGTCCCACCAACATGACTGCCTAAACATGAGCTGAACAAGAACACCACCAATAGGCATGCTAACAGAGAAGAAGGAAAACTCATGAGGCCTCAGCCCTTGACAGTGAACCACAGGCAACTAAGGAATGATGAAATCTGAAGAAATAGTCTACCCAGGGAAGATCATACCAATTGGTTATTCAATACCAAATGGTTAGCCCTGAAAACATACAAATAAATTATTCAGACTGAGCAGATGGTATTTATGTGTGTATAAGGGGTTGTGTGTATGCATATATATATATATATATATATATATATATATACACACACACACACACACACAAACACACACATGTGTGTAGCAACAAAGAAAAAGAGAAGGGGAACTTGCATGAAAGGGTATGGAGAAAGGAAAAGGAAGGAGAAAATGATTTTATGATTTTATGATCTCAAAAAATAAAATTATTTTTTACATTGTAAAAGCATACATACACATATTTGTATAGACATAAAACAAAGGAAAGAAGGTCATGAATTTAAAACAGAAAGGGGGCTACATGGGAAGTTTTGAGAGAGGAAACGGAAGGGGGAATGATGTAATTATATTATGATTTCAGAACTTTTTTATTTTTGTAAAAATTGTAGAAGCATCGCCAGGCATGGTGGCACACGCCTTTAATCCCAAAACCGGAAGACAGAGACAGGTGGATCTCTGTGAGTTTGAAGACAGAATGGTCTACAGAGCGAGTTCCAGGACAGCCAGAGATACACAGAGAAACCCTGTCTTAAATAAAGCCGGGCGGTGGTGGCACACACCTTTAAGGCAGGCGGATCTCTATGAGTTGGAGGCCAGCCTGTTCTACAGATCGAGTGTCAGGATAGGCTCCAAAGCCATAGAAAGTCTTGAAAAACCGAAAAGAAAGAAAGAAAAGAAAAATGGTAAAAGCATCAAATAAGGCATAAGTTTTTGACATATAACAAGTCATTGATGAATGTTATCAGGCTAGGGAGATGCCTCAGTAGCTAAAACTCTTGAAGGACAAAGCATGAGGACCTGAGTTCCTGAGTTCAAATGCCCAGAACCCATACAGAGCCAGGCACAGTAGCACATCTGTAATCCCATTGCTCCTACTGTAAAATAGAAAGCAGAGACTAGGGCTGGAGAGATGGCTCAGAGGTTAAGAGTACTGGCTGCTCTTCCAGAGGACCTGAGTTCAATTCCAGCATCCATATGGTGGCTCACAACCATCCCTTACGAGATCTGGTGCCCTCTTCTGGTGTACAGATAAACATGGAAGCAGAATGTTATATACATAATAAATAAAATCTTTAAAAAAAAAAAAAGAAAGAAAGCAGAGACTAGAGAATCCCTTGAAGCTTATATGCTAACTAGCCTGGCATATGATGGTGTAAACAGCAAAAAAGAGATCCTGTCTTAAGGTAGAAAGCAAAGACCAACACTCAAGGTAGTCTTCTGACCTCCATTCCAGCAGAGCATGTGAATATCCATTATATGCACATATAAGTACATACATTATGCACACACAAATAAAATTATCCCCAAAATAAATATTATCAATCCGCCTTTTAAAAATGTTACATAGTCCCTACAACTACCTTATTCCTTTTAACATATAATTGCATTTTAGTCGTCTATTTTGTGGCCACAGGTGCCATGGTACACATGTGAGGGTCAACAGGAGCTCATTCTTTCCTAAGTCCAAAGACTGCTCAGGTCCTCAGTCTTGGTACAAAGTGTCTTTTCCCACTGAGCCATCTCTGATCCCTGTTCTAAACAGCTTATAGTTTAAATCAGAAATAGGAAACTATTGGCCTGGGTTGCACCTGGCCTATGACTTATTTAGCTTGGCAGGCATTTTGAACATCTTGAAAATGAAATGGTCCATAATGTTCAGATTTTTGGCTTTTCTCCTACATCAAAATTTCTGACAGCACCAGTTCCAGCTAAGTAGTGGCTGGAACTAAGGCTTATGACTTCTTTAAACCAGGCCTGTTTTAAGTGTAGAGTTCTTTCCACCAAGACCATTCATCATTCTACCTGCCTTGGTAGGTTGAGGTTTTTGTTTGTTTGGTTTTTTTTTTTTCTCCCAATAGAGAAATATGTCTTTGTAATTACGTCTCCATGAAAAGTAGGAAAACAAGTCTTGGAACATGTTGTAAGAAAAAAGAGAGGAAGACACACATACACACACACACACACTCACAGAGGGGGGGGCGAGAGAAAACATTAGTTTCTCATGAAGAATTTTTTCTGTACTTGATATGAAAATTATATACCTTAAAACACTATTGAAAATGTAAAATCCTGTAATGACTTTAATGGGGAATATGTACGAAGAATCACTTAATGAATTAAAAAATACAACTTTAACATGGGTTGTTTTTTTTTTAATGAGAACGAGAATATGATGCATTCTTACAATCCGATGCTTCTCGCCCTTTCAGTACCGGAGCATTCCAAACTGAGCCCCGAAGTTTCATCAGGCGTCTCTCGATATCGGCAGCATTGCAGCTGTCCTAATAAAATAGTTGGCATTAAAAAAAAAGATTTAGATAAAGTTTATCTTTAATACGATTATCTCAAGTTGTGAGGGGAATAAGATTAAAGATGGACATCGGTAAATTTACATGCAGCAAAACTGGAAGAAAATCTCCACTGAGTTCCGAGCCAAAAAGAAAAAAAAAAAAAAAAGTGAAGGATTCAAGTGTCAGTCCGAGATTCCGCGGGATACAAGCAGATTCCAAATAGTGCTCTGTTCTGCACCTCTAGGGACAATGCAGAGAGAGAGAAAATGCTCCGAGGCTTTGGCCACGCCCACCTTTGCCCAAGGGGTCACGCCCACCTAGCCCAAGGGGTCACGCCCACCTAGCCCAAGGGTCACGCCCACCTCCTCCGGCGAGGCCACGCCCATCTCGGCCGTCGGAGTGTGGTCCCACAGGCTCAGTCTATGCCTTCACCTTCCATGCTAGGCACCATGCCCCCCCGTTGCCTAGCAGCGGCGCAGGGCACGATGGGAGAATAGACGGAAACCTCAGAGAGCCAAATTTAGTTTCGAAGGAAAGCTCCAGCGATACTGACAGTGCGTGGTAAAGAAACGAGCCTGGAGAGGAATGTCGAGGATACCGTGGAGGCTAACGGAAACCTCAGTGAGCCGAAACCATTGCGACTTGGAAAACTTGGCTACGCCGGCGACTTGTGTTGGGGTCTTGTGCAGAAGGGAAGCTGTGGTGCGCAAAGCACTGTGGGACACCCGGCAACGTGGGGTGGGAAGGAAGCCTCCGAGGGTCAGATCTTAGCGACGCGGGAAGTCCAGACACCAGAACTGTCTGAAGAGGAGGCCTGAGGCGGAGAAGGCTCGGGCTCCAGCGGAGGCAATGGCGGAGGGGGAGGAGGACCTAAATCTGCCCAACGCCGTCATTACTAGGATCATCAAGGAAGCGGTGAGCTGCTCGGGCTGGCGAATGGGTCGAGGGCGGACGAGTGGGCAGAAGGTTAACTAGATCCGCGTGTGTGTTTATCTCCACTCTCGCAGCTCCCGGACGGCGTCAACATCTCCAAGGAGGCCCGGAGCGCCATCTCCCGCGCCGCCAGCGTCTTCGTTCTGTATGCCACATCCTGGTGAGCCGAGCAGGGAGGGAGGCCCTGCGAGATCCTGACCCCGAGTTCATGGCCCCATTAATTGTTCCCCGACTCAGTAGATAGAGCGACTCACAGCTCCCCTCCAGTCCTCGCAAATTCTGAAGCAGGTGAAACAAGAAGGTTGCCGTATCCCTTTGTACGGAGAAGGAATGGACTGAGTCGTGTTACAAAAACCTATGACTCTAAGATAGATGTGGGTTTTCCCACCCCGCCTCTTTGGTGTCTCTTTTCCCCACCCACTCTGACAGCTCCTGAAGGGCTTTGCTTTTTCTTCCAGTGCGAACAACTTCGCAATGAAAGGGAAGCGAAAGACTCTGAATGCCAGTGATGTGCTGTCAGCCATGGAAGAGATGGAGTTCCAGCGGTTCATTTCACCATTGAAAGAAGCCCTAGAAGGTATTCACTCGCTCTTCAGTTTCTTAAGCCACACGGAAGCTGGTCATCCTTCGTTCCCTGATCACCTGATCTTAGTAATCCAATATTGGTCATGATTCAGCTCTGTTTAGTTGGTACCATCTCAGATACATGATGTGGGCCTGGTTGTTCTTCCTGTGGCTCAGTTTGTCTAATTAAACAATAATCTCCTTCTTTACAGCTTACAGGCGGGAGCAGAAAGGCAAGAAGGAAGCTTCCGAGCAAAAGAAGAAGGACAAAGACAAAAAGACAGATTCCGAAGAGCAGGACAAGAGCAGGGAGGAAGATGATGAAGATGAAGAAAGACTAGAAGAGGAAGAGCAGAATGAAGAGGAGGAAGTAGACAACTGAGTCGAGAGAATGGGCACTCTGCGGCACCATGGGAGTGACCAACCTCCCTGAGATGTTTTTATGCGAAGCCTTTCCCTGCAAGGCAGAGCCATCTTCGGCACAGGTGCCTAAGATCAGAATAAAAACTGACCAGAATGATCAAAACCAGCTCTTGCCAGGCTGAGGGCATCAGAGTAACAGAAACCTGTTTTGCTGAATCAGTCTGGAGGTTGTGACTTTTTAGTATAAGGGATTCTGACTGACTAAATAGTTTGATGTCATTTGTTTACTTAAGTATGTGGCTAGCTAGTTTTTGATCCCATTTCCCTGACCCTCCAAAAAAGTAATAACTTCCATGTTGCTTGCCTGCTGTGTTCTGGATCACAGAAGCACTCAAGGCTCAGGGGGAGGAAATGGGGCTTTGATCATGGTCACCCTGTTTGATTGTACAGTATCTGGCAATAGGTATTAATGGTCAGAATGGTTGCGCTTTAGGAAATGACTAAAAGGCTGTGAGAGAATAAGGTAATCTCTTCACTGGATGGTAGCATTACTTGTTTGTTTTGTTTTCTAGACTTAATTAGCCTGTAGCCCTTCTTTGTTGACTATAGATGTTCAGTCTTCTGGGGTGGCTGCACTCCTACACATACACTCTTAAATTCTCAGTGTTGATTAAATTCTGTCCAAAAAGGGTGTCAATTCTTAAAAACAGGTGACTTAATCTTAGGGTAACTCAGTGCCTGCCACTGTAGGATTTAGTGCTACCTCCTGGAAGGTATAAAATCCCAGGTTTTCTCTTGCTTAGTCCATCTCCCTGACTTGCAGCTGCTGCTTTTCATTCCTTGAACTCTTGACAAGTTCCAGATGTTATTTCCTCTAGGCATAGCCTTTTCCCTCTCCATCTCCTGCCTCTGCTTCCCAGCCCCTCTTTCTCCTTTTCTTAATTCATCTTCCAGTCTAGGAACTTTGGTAACCCATGTAGTGTCGCACAGTGCCAGTTCCTCAGATTCCTTAGTCCTACTCTCCTGAAACGCCTCTGAACCTTAAGGTAAATGTAACGGTGCTCAGGAATCTAGCAGCACAGCCACCACTGCTGTGGCTTTTGAAGTGTCTGTTGGCCTTTCCTTTCTCCCCATTTAGTGCTCCAAGCACCCTTTTTTTTTTTTTTTTTTTTTTTTTTTTTTTTTTTTTTTTTTGGTCTTAGTTGAGCACTTGAGGTTGAAAAGTAATGTAATATAGTTGGATACTGTTAGCTAGTTGAGTGAATACAATGAAGAGTTTATTGAAAGTGATGAGACTGTTGAGAAGATTTTAATGCTTTTTACAAATAAAGAACATTCTTGTTTAAAATGGTGACTCATAACAGTGTACTTTCAGAAAGAACCTCTCTCTCTCTCTCTCTCTCTCTCTCTCTCTCTCTCTCTCACACACACACACACACACACACACACTCAATCTGCATCTCCTTGGCTCACCAGCAGGTGAGTGAGCATTCACAACTAACGACACTGCTCTTAACCACAGCCAACATTTTCTGAAATTCTCTTGGTTACTGTGTATATCTCACTGGCTCTCACTTCTTAAGCTCTTCCTGTGTCTAGCATTGTTCTAAGTGCTTTCAGGTGTTATTCTTAACTCCTATCAAGCAGCATTGCTGTTACCTCGGTTAGCTCCTAACCACAGCTCTATATTTACTCTCTAAAAGACATTGTTAAGTCATAAGTCAAATTTATAAATCAGATTTCACAAAGAACCCCAATGGTCATTTGATATCCTTTCTTAATTCGCATGAGCACCATGCTAGACCTAGCCTTCAAGTACCATTTGGACTCCCATGACTTCCTTTGAGCTCAGTATCACATGTACACTACTTAGCAAATAGATCTTCCTGGAACATAGCTTTGTTTTCTGAGATCAAATCCATAGTTAAACCTGTTATTCAAGGTCTGAGTAAGGGGCTCAGTAACAGTGTACTTGGCTAGCATGTTCAAACAAAACAAACACTCTTCCTTATGCCTTTAGTTCATCCTGCCCAAACCCTTAACTGAACTTTAACTGTCTAGGAGAAACCTTTTCTAAGAGTGGAGATTTGGATTTAAAAGTAAAGAATTCAACATCTGGAAAGAATCTTGAGTTCATCCTTAAGCTTTTTCTCAGTCATATGTACACCATCTCATAATGGCATCTGGATTTTGAAGGTTTCTCAAAGCAGGCTAAGGTAAGTTTCTCCTCTCTTAAAGCAGAGTGTTTCATGCACAGAGACTGAGCTGAATCTGGGCAGTGGAAGAGTTCTTGTTCTAATTCATTTAAAACTACTTTGAGGGTTTGAAGAGCTGTCTCAGCAGTTAATAGCCACTATGCTTTTCCAGAAGACCAGGGTTTAGTTCCCAGGACCCACATGGCAGCTAACAACTTCTGTAGCTACGGTTCAAGGGGATCCTATGCCCTTTTCTGGCCTCCTGTCACTACAGACGTGTGGTACGTAGCCATGTATGCAGGCAAGACATTCACACATAAAAATCCTTTAAAAAATGGTTTGGTGCCCTAGACCCCTATTTTTATTTATGGGAAGTTGAAGCTCTTTTGAGAGAAATTATTTAGGGTCTTATAGTTAATTTATGATTACTGAGATTATGAGCCAGTGGCCTTTGACCTTACTTCTGTTTTTATTTTAGTAAACTTTGTAATTGGTTAGGATAATTTTAAACTTATAGGAAAATTACCAAGGAGTGCAGTTCTCATATACCCATTATCCAACTTCTCATATTACAACTTTAAGTCCAAATTTTCTAATGAACTTTTAATAACCAAAATGAGACTCACAGTCATAAAATTAACCATTTTTAAATGAAGATTTGGTGGTGCTTAGGACATTTACAGTATTACACAACTACCCATTTCTACTATCAAAATAATTTCATTACCTCCTCCCTAATAAGCAGTCACTCCCTCCACTCAGGTCCTTACCACCAACCACCAGTCTTTGTCAAGTTTCTAGCCCCATCAACCTCCCAAAACCCCATGCTCTCATCCTCCACAGACCTTTGGTTAATTTTTTGTTGTTTTTTTGTTTGTTTGTTTGTGTTATTTTGTTTTTCTGAGATGGGTTTCTCTATTTAACACCCCTGGCTGTCCTGGAACTCGCTTTTGTAGACCATGCTGGCCTTGAACTCACAGAGATCCACCTGCATCTGACTCCCAAATGCTGGGATTCGTGCACCACCAGACCGCCCAGCTAAATTTTTTTTTAATTAATTGTGCTGTTTGGTTTGTTTTTGTTTGTCAAGACAACATATCACTATGTGATAGCTGGCCTGGAACTCTACCTCCAATTCATGGGATTAAAGGTGTATACCACCAAGTTCGCTTTGGTCAGATTTTAATGTACTCGTTGTAGATAAACTTGATGCCCCTATCACATTTGGTTAGTTTTCTTTTTTGCTTTTTTTTTTTTTTCAGTGTCCACATCTTTCACATCTCTCAACCCATAACAGATCATGGGCTGGATAATTAATTACACTGGAATAAATTTGTCTGAAATGGGCAGTCAGTCCGCTGCTGAACTCAACAACTTTAAAGCGCTCAGTCCGCCAAAACGGATTTATCCGCTGTGTTAGGCATTATGTGGTGTTTTAATGTTCTTGACATCCAATTGTTCTTTTTTTTTTTTTTTTTTTTTTAAACCCAATTTTTTTTTTTTTTTTTTTTTTTTTTTTAAACCAATGAGCAACTGACAGTGGGTTTTGCTCCAGGCTGAGAAAAGACCTTCAAGTGAACTCCCGGGATGAGTTCGGAATCTCAAACCAGGGCCCCGCCCAGAGGCTCAGGACTCCCCACATGGAACCTCTAGGGCCTTCCCCACCTCAAGTGAGGCCCGAAGGACGGAAGGGGGTGGGCGGGCTCTCGGGCTCCCAGATTGGCCAAGGTTCCAATCCTCCAAGCGCGGGCCAGGCCGAGCGAGCAGACCCGGCATCCTGGGGCTGCCCCGCTGGGAGCTCCGGCTGCACTCCCATGGGGGCGGGCAATAGGAGAGCCGCTTCCGGGTGAGCCGCCCCGCCCCCACGTAGGCTTGCGCTTTTAGAGCGGGAGACCGCAGAGTCGGGAGCAGCGGTTCGGGGCGGCGGGGAGCAGCATCCTTGGTAGGTGAGCGGGCCCCGGCCTCTGGGAAGTGGCGGTTTGGGAGGATAACTCCAGTACGAGGCTAGGTGCATTCCCCGATGGTACTGTGCTCCCGAAGCTTCAGCGGAGACGCGGCCCCTGTGCACCCTCTAGAGTGGGCAGAATCTTGCCGCTACATAGCTGCGTCCAGGCTTGGGGATTCAAAGCTGGGCTCCATTCGCCTCCTTTTCCGAGGCCGCAGGGGTAGTGTCTGGCAGGCTGGAGAACTGGGGCGGGAAACAATGAGAGTCGCTTGTCCTGGGTGTCGACAGCTTCTGCTCCTTCAGTAATTACAACAACCCATTGAGCTCAGTTCAAGCCCTAATTTACCACATGAGAAGACAAGAGGTAAAGCATTTGAAAACAAGAGTTTGTCTCCAAAGTCACACACACAACCCTCCTGCTACCAGCAGTAGCCAGGTCTATGTCTCTTCTCTCCCCTACTCTCTCACCTGGAGCTCTCAGTAGGCTCATCTCTGCTGGGAATATAATGTGTGAACTCTGTTCTTCTAGTGTCAAAGGTCGTGGTGAGAATTGAGGGCAGTTGGACCCCCGAATTTTAGACCAGATTTACAGCTGACCTGCTGCATGACCTGTCCTTCTCAGAGTTCAGTTTTACCATTGTTTGATGTAGAAGCTCTCAGCCAGAATTTTCTAGCAATCTGGGAAAGGCAACTCCTAGCTTGAAATGGCTAAACCAAGGCAGGGGAGATTAAGCCAGCAGACTGGATAAGGTCTAGCTACTTCTTTGTCTAATTCTTCCTTCTAACACTGTGGCAGGTGGTAGCAAGAGTATTCAGGAAATGCAAATGGGCCTCTGGGCAATTCCGTTTCAGAACTGCCCATAGCTGCCTTTCCTGGGCCTTTTTGAAAATTGCTTCAGATATCCCAGCCTTGGACCTTCCACCTAGCTGGCCCCTCCTGATGGGTCTCCTCCCCAGCCTGCCAGAGTTGGCACCAGCTCGCCACTATCTGTGCCAAGAGAACAGCCTCTGGAATCCTCCATGAGGCACAGCCTGGGAGCCCAGGCCCTGAAGCTCTTTCTCAGTCACTCCTGGTTGGTGGCAGTGTCACTCCTAGGTTAGGGGATCTGCCTCTTAACAAAGGTGAGACCTTTGTAGTCTTTCAAAAAAGCTATCCAGCAATGTCTCCATGAAACTACCCTTGACTCTTTTCAGTGGTCATTTTCCTTCTTGTCTAGTAATATATTACTGGAGGGCTCATGTGTTCTCTTACCTCATGCACTGGGTAGAATGTATGTCCTTCCTCAGGTACAGTGCAGGGTCACAAAGTACTGTTTACTCATCCCAGCTCAGCATTAGCCACGTATTTAGCATTACTGTGCTGCTGGTGTGGTGGCTACACACCTCACCATTATCTGATCTTCTCCACAGTTTACTGGCTTGATAATATCAGCACATTTTAGATTTTGAAAAAAGGGATCTAAGAGGCCTTGCCCAAAGTTATAGAGACAACTCTGGGGCTGTTTGACACAGAAACATTATTTCCTGTACCACTTTGTCCAGCTTGCTAGCAAAGTGAAGCTGTTTTGAAATGGAGAAGCTGAGCTGAGCTGAGCCTCTGTGGTCATGTATTCCTGTTAGTATGAGACATGGAATTTAAGCGAAGTTTGCAAACTCCCTTAATATGGGAAAAGTGCCTGCCCTTGTTTGAGAATCTTCCAGACGATGAAGGATTTCTCTCAAGGCAAAACCCTGAACTAGAATTAGTTCTATAAAGTAGAAGCAGGCAGCCTTCCACTCTGGACTTTTCCTTGAGTACCTGCTGCAATAAACTGTGTGGTATAGGAAATCAGGACCTCACCCACTGTGAACTCAAGTCCTGTGACCTTCCTTTAATCCCTTTTTCCTATCAAAATGTGAAGGATTGACTAGAACTTTCTTTTATTATTACTTGCACTGACCTCTCTCAGTTTTGTTTGGTGAACAAAATGAAAACCTAAACCTGGGCAAGAGATGTCTCAGTGATTAAGAGCCACTTGGGTTCAGTTCCTTGCCCTCATGTAGTGGCTCAACAACCATAAGTAATTCTAGTTCCAGGGGATCCCACAACTCCTTCTGTTAGGAGATACTTGATTATACTGTGTAAAGATATGTCACTGTAATTGGTTTAATAAAAAGCTAAATAGCCGGTAGCTAGGCAGGGGGTGTAATGGAGACTTATGGGAAGAGATAA